ACTTGCTTAAGGTCAATTAGCAGAGGAAATAAGATTTAAAGACAAGGTGCCTTGACTGTCACCATCATTCTACAAAAATAACATAGTACAGCATAGTAAAACAATTCAGTCCTTTGGAGAAGAACATACCCAAGAGGCAAGCAGGTATGCCCAAAAACATGGTACATGCAGCTTCCTCTTGAAAAGGGCCACAGTACTTTCCTGAGGATAGTTCTTGGGTCTTTTAGTGTAGCAGGCTCCTGGTCTCCAGCAGCCTTCCAACCCAAGGCAATCAAGCTCAGCTTCTGCCTCTGTGAAGGGCATGGCCTCCATGCCCCACACTACCTTTGCAAATATCCCTGCCCATTTACATTCCCAGGGCCGGCATGACTGCCCTCCTGCCAACAGCACCCCAGGGCCCATGGAGTCCAGCAGGTATTAGGCAGAACAGGAGAGGACACAATGGCTGCAGCTCCAGGGGACCAGTTTGACAGTTCTGTTTCTAAGAAAATGAGGTTACTTGTGCTTTTTTATCAGAACCAGATGGCTGTTCTCTGAACTCCTAGTGATCACCTGCATGGACTTCAGACATCTCCCTCAGTAGACAAGAATCCATATGAGTAAGATCATGAGAGGCCTACATGATGCAATCAATCCATGATGGCACAGAGCATTTCCTGAACATTTGGCTTAACTGCTCGCTGGTGATTTGGGGTAAAAGAAAGAATCTCTCTAGGCCTGGGCTCCCTGACTTGTACTGTGAGGATAGCGCATACCTTCCTCACAGGCTGTGGCTACCACCTTACAGCCAATTCCTGCCTGGCTCAATGCAGTGCTCATTCAATAACAATTCTGATTCTGCCTGCTAAAATAAAAGATGTGTGAGGCAAATTCAGAGCCCCCTCTCCTGCATCCCACAGTGAAACAGGGGCTTTGGTTCTCATCTGTGAACCTGTGGGAAGGACAATAGGTCTTGGATGAGCAATGAGAACAACGGCAATGAATAAAAGAAAAACCAATAAGAGTTATCATTTATCAAGTGTTTCCAATACTCCAGACACTATGCTAAATCCCTTACATGAAGAGTTTGGATCCTTGCCCCCAAATGGGCCATGGGGAGACCCAGTCCTAGCCCAGGTCTGGTGAGTGTGCGGAGAGCTTATTGCTACCCTGCGCCGGTGGAACCAGCCCCAGGCCAGGTGCAGCATGGGCCGGACCCTCTCCCAGCCCCTTGGGCCGCCCCCCACCACTCCAGAGTGCCTCCCCCACCCCGCCCGCCCAGTAGGATTTTCTGCCGAGTTGCGGGAGCCCCCAGACCCAGTCCTAACCAGGTCCGGTGAGTGTGCGGAGAGATTCCTGCTACCCTGCGCCGGCGGGACCAGCCCCAGCCCAGGC